TTTCCTCTCAAGTAAAAAAGCCATGGAGAGGCTGAGGCAGAAGAATTAATTCTGAGCGCTCTTCCTTAAATTTAAGAATATGCGTTACCCTTTGTTTTCCCAATCAGTCGTGTCTTTGGGGAAAGAAAGGGTGCCAGTGTGGACCTAATTCCTTCCGTGATTTCAGGCTGCCACCAGTGCGTTTGAAGGTTAAATGCGTAAAAGGTGAGCTGAATCATGACTGCATTCCTTCCACTATGATGATGATCACAGATGCAAAGACCAGAAGGAGAGATGACTTGGCACCTGAACAAGCCAATGGATGGTTACTTCCCCCACAAAGTAAACAGTGAAATGAGAAAAGATCTGTGTGACAAAGCCAATTTTTCAGCACAGAAGTGCACACTCTCCCTTCTTCCCGCAGCTAGAAAGCGGGCAGGAAAAGAATTAGATGATTGAACTTTTCCCATGGCCAGCAGCTACATCGAGCTGTATTTAATGTGACATGTAAAATCTCTGTCCTGACTTAAGCAAATTCTGGTTTTATAACTTAAATATATGTGTATGCACAGTTGTTTAAATCCCTTTTAAAAATCTGACTCCACTGCTCTCATCTTCCAATATATTCAATATATCCAACATATGCACTACTGTATGTCCTACGTATTAATGCCTTTGCACAACAAGCATAACAGCACGTTTGGAAAACAACGGGAGGAAAATGAGCAGAATAAAAAAAAAAAAAAAATTATTACGCACAGCAGCTTGTGAAGGTGATGAAGACGATGGTGTTAAGATACCAATAAGCCCTGAGGTAAGAGAGAGCCTCCTGCCCTCTGCTATGGTGGACTCCTTGAAAGGCTCCATTTTGGATGATTTAGGGGCATTGGAGTAAGTCTTGCTGAGTATCTTGTGATTCTTCAATCCATCCAATTCTTCCATTCTAAGATTACTGGAGTAGGACCTGCTTAAAAGTTTGTGTGGCTTCAAGGTGCTGTTGTGCTCACAGCGAGGATCCCCAGAACATGACCTATTTAACAGCTTATGAGGCTTTAAAGTGATGCATTCCTCCTGCTTGATGGCGGCAGAGCAAGAACGGTTCAACAGTTTGTGCGATTTAATAGCCATTGTCTGTTCAGCCCTAGGGTCACTCGACAACGAGCGGCCAAAGGTTCTGTGAGATTTTGTGGCACACATATCTTCTGCCTTCACTGTGCTAGAGCAAGTCCTTCTTAGTAGCTTGTGAGTTTTGGAGATGCCATCCTGTTCTGACTTCAGTTTTGATTTATTTTTACCACAGCCAGGTGGAGGATAACTTGGCGACCTTAAAAATAAAGAAGAAGACAAAATGGAGAATAATAAAATTCCTGGGTAAATCAGCAAGACCACACATATGTAAAAATTGAGTGCCAACTGTCTTTCGCTAGTGATAAATGCAGGCCAACATTAAAAAAATGGGCAATTGTTTTTAGGACTAATTTTCCAATACCAAAAAGACAACTTATTCTTATTTACACACAAGATCACCAATCAAAAAGATAACTAACTACTTCAGTAGAAGTTAGAGCTGTATTTTTACAGCTCTTTGTAAACGTCTTTATGCTGCTAAACAAACCATTTATAGAGGAAATTATCTTTGAAATGAAAACCACATATTTCACATGAGATTAATACACATTTTCCTTATCAATATCTATCTTTCCTACGGAATCATCATGACACGTTCCCATTAAAGTTATTGTCTTCTGGACACAGCATAACAAATTCGATGTCCAGATCCAATGGAAGATATAATGAGCAGTGAAACTCACTCATTATAATGATAATAATCTGGGTGCTTTGTGGAAGGCAATCTGATCCTATTTTAGACAAATTCTAGCTCTATAATACTAGAAATGAGAATGTGAAGGACATAAATTATGAATGCAGAAAGTAAAGACCAAAAGGTTTTTACAAAGCAACGTTCACATGAACTGTCACATTTCTATAAGGTTCACATTCACTGGAAAGCAAGAACATGTTACAGGTATGACGAATCATTTTTCTATGCTTTATAAGCAACCACAATCTTTGGAGTATTTTTGGGGCTTATATTGAATAGAAAAGAAGTTAAAGCCCAAGGGAGGAGGCCGGCAGGTTTCTCCACCCTGTTAGCAAGCGGTGACAGTAGAAGATGCATGTGGAGGCTGCTGACTCACTGTTGCAGTTGGTTCACCACCACACTCCTGCAGACAGGATGTAGGATGTAGGAATGGTGCTCTAGGAAGAGAGGGGGTCCCTGCATTTGGGCTGAGACATCTTTGGACAGGCACTGCAGCAGCAGCCAAATCAAGAGGAGAAAGACTGGGCTGGCTTTTTATGCCCTTTCTGAAAAAAAACCCAAAAAACAAACCCCAAGCTACAGCCTGCACTAGGTGACAGTGTGTGGCATGGTAGGGAATGGGTAAGTGTTCTACCTAAAACACCACCTTCCTCTTCTACCTTTGAAAAGACAAATAATCTTTTGTCATCTTTGACATTCTTCCCTTCTTCAGTGTGAGTGATCACCATACTCCCTCTCTTTACACACAGAATTCAGAATGGCAAAATTCATCAAAAAGAAGGAATGTTCAAAGAAGCATTCAACTTAAATACACAGGAGGGGTGATCTGTCAACCTTTCATAAGCAGTACAACATGCTAGAGTAAATAGTCACATTTCTGACAGAGGCAAAATCAGAGCCTGATTTTACATACACTTAAGAGTATAAGTAACTAGCAGAAGTAATAATGAATTCAAATGAACTATTCACCAACTACTTATTTTTTTAATGCCTTTGTTCTTTGAAATTCTATGACTGCATTTTAGAAGTGGTGAACGTTAAGGAACTCAAACAGTAGAGAGGGGTGGGTGCTCACCAGGTCTAAAGATCCATCTTTCATTAATGAACATTCTAGTCTTAAAAACCTAAAAATACACACAGCTGTGGAAAGAACAGCTAGACAGCAACAAAATTTTATATATATGTAGTATATATGTTATATATTACTTGTATATATCACTTATATTTATAGTTTTGCTATTCAAGTACAGTCAAATGCTACCAAGCTATAAAGATAGAAATACAACACATTAAATAATTTCCAATTCTAGATGAAACACAGCTGTTTCAGAGAGCAGGGCACTGAAATGCTTTACCATCAAATAGTCTTAGAAACTGCAGTAGTACTTAGTTCATTTTTGATGCCATGCAAGGTGAGGACTGGAAACCCATGAGGTAAGATATAAATAGAGCACTTCTCTGTGCAGAAAAGTCAACATTTCACCTTGTGAAGTCTGCTGTGGATTTTGAACAGAATATGGTGGTAACAGCTCATTTTCCTTGCTATTACCTGCGCAATGTAGAAAAGATGTGCAGAGGGGACTTCATCTTTTTGTCAGACATCTTCTTATTGTGCGTACAATTAGATTTCTCTTTGCTGTTCTTCCACTGCTGTGTAACAAATGTCTGCATGATTCTGCAAATTAAGAAAGAAAAAAAGATTTTCTTATCCTAGCCAAGACACACTCACTTTAATACTGCATCTCTCTGTTCACCACATAGGTGACACGATGCAATGTCCTCACTCTACAGGCAGAGTTTTTCTGTCATGTATGTGAACTGATGATTGGGTGCCTCAGCTCCCAAAAAATGCTTTTTTTTTCTCATGTAAAACTAATTTACATGGAACTCTTATTGAGAATACAGTCTGCGCAAACAACCACTGCAAGACTTATGCAGGTATGCTTCTCATGGAGATCTAGAGACAAACTGACTCAAAGGCATCCCATCCACCTCTAAGTGTCTGTCTCAGACTACAGAGGTAAGCTACAGCATCCACACTGCTCAAGTAGGAGCATATTCTTCTAAGGCACAAACATGAAGGTAGGGATGTCAAATATTACGCTACCTAAAGAGGGCTTACAGAGAAGACAAAGCCAAACACTTCCCCAAGCTGGACAGCAAAAGGCAATGGTCACAAATTGTAGCTAGGAAAGCTAAAAAACATAAAGGCTATAAAAATAAGACATCTGCAAGAAGAGTGGTTAAGTACAATAGGTTGCCCACAAAGGCTGGAGTTTTCACAAAGACTATGCCTCTGTGACATAAGCTCTGAGTGAACTAATCTAACTTTGAAGTTAGTGTTACTTGGAGCAGGAGGTTATACTGGGTGACCTCCAGTAGCTCCTTCCAAGCCAAACTACTCTGTGACACTAGTCTAGCAGTGGAGGGCTTTGAGTGATAAAGTCAAAGTGGAAGTTGGTACAGACTTTATTGAAAATTCAGTGAATCTTCAAAGATTATTATCCTGTTGCAACAGCCATGAGAGGCCATGGGGTTCATGGGTATTCTGACTTCTGCTCAACTGTGAATTATGCAGCTGTGTCCTTGAAAACATTTTATGGGAGCCTTCAGTAATTACCCAGTGCACAAATCAGAGACAGTGCAAGTACTGAAACATTTTAAGAGACTGTTCAAGTTTGGGGAGCTTTTTTTTCTTTTTCTTCAAGTCATGTACCATAGAGATTTTAGTAATACTGCTTCATTTGTAAAATTATGAAAATGCTGCACTGGACTTTTGTAAACACTATAACATAATTTTATTTTTTTTTTTTTCCTTAAGAGATTCTTAATGTTGTAATGGTCAAATATTAAAGCCTATACTCTTTTCATTTTCTTACACATATACAAGCATATGTGAAAAGACAACTCAGCAAAATTTTATTAAATTAAATTGTACCATGAATACATGAAATTGCTCATTTTTGCAACTATTCTTCCCTCTTGTCCTCAAAATGTGGATGGCCTAATTACTGTGGCATATCCTACAGGCCACTACAAAAGCATAGCCCCCTTAGGGCATGCATGATGCTAAAAAAGATTCCTGCTCCAGAGGCTTCACTATCTAAGCAGAACACTCCTAGCTACAGTCTTTTGAACTTCTGTAGCTTACTTCCTAAATGGCAGCAAAGTGACAGAAAACCCTGGCAGGCACCACAAATCAGGTTCTCCCCAACAACTGTCAAAACTGAACTTAAAAAGGTAAATCTGGTTATTTTTGGTTTATAGGAAAACAGTTTCAAAACACTTTGATCCAACCAACCTGACAACCTGTGAATTTTATCCTAGTTGACATGGTCCAGAAACTAAAGAGTGTAATATTTGCCTAAAAACAGGAGTTTACACTTTTCTACACTTACTTTTTCAGCTGATGTCCCAGCCCAAATCTTTCCTTAGTAGAGATCTGAAATACATCCACAGTTGGCACTATGGAAAAAGAAGACATTGTTGATAGTATGAACTTACATCAATAATAAAAAACTCATGACTATACAAGTCATATTGAAAGACCTTTACTATAGAGAATGACATTGAAGCAATGGTGAAAGCAGACATGTAATCTAAGCGTATTAGGAAATTAATGGTCCTTTTTGGAATATCAGTAATTTTACAAATGAGTATTTTAGAAACTGAATTCCCCCAAATTTATCTGTTCCCACTAATTTTAATTACAAAAATGTGGGGTTTTTTAATATTATGCAAGTACTAGAGAGCAGCATCAGATTAAACATATCTGAACTGGTAATTCATCTTACCGAGTCTCTTAAAGGTTTTTTCAAATAAGTAGTCATTACACACTACATTTCCTGTGACTATTGAGAAAACTTAGAGTCGAATAAACTGAATTAATTAGTATCTGGATTTTCTTTATGAGTACGTTTTAATACAAGATAAGTAATAGTCATCTAAGTGATATATGAATTCCAATGGCCAAGGATTACCATGAGCTTTCCTCAAGACCTGTCCTAACATTGGTATATCCATATCTGTCTGTCAGAAAACTGAAAGTGTACATGGTGAAGGCTGGAAATTAGCTCCTGGTACTACTAAAATCCTTTAATAACATTTACTAGATAGAAGTGGCAGATGGAATACAGCACTTGTTGAGAAAGCCTCAGGTCCTCAACACAGGACAACAGCCAACACATATTACAAGCATGAATAGACTTTACACTTCATATTACATAAGGTGGCAATGACTATAGTAAAATTAAAAAATAATTAAAACAAAAAATCTGTGATTGATTCCAATTTTATCAGAAAAAGTAAAACAGTATTTTAGAATCGGTATTATTCTCATCACTGAGAAATCCAGATTTATTCAGAATGTAAAAATTTATCCTTTAATTTTGCTTTAATCAATTAAATTTTAAAATAAAATACAATATACCCAAACTGGCCATCCAATTTCACTTAGTTCAAAGCCCTGCAGATACCCTTTCTGTAATGTTATTATTCAAATACAATCTCATATTTTAAAGACAAAATAATGATTTTTTTCAGAAAGGATTAATAATTTGATCAGGAGTAGCAATGCCTTTAGATTATCAAATTTAGAACACATAGTAGGGGGGGAATCATCATACGTAGACCAGCAACCTTAAAATCTAACATCTAACATCTAAACTCTACAGCCAGAGGAGACAGCTCAGAACCTCCAGAGGCTAATTCAACTTCATCTAAGATAGGTTTCTAAGGCACATATTTAAGAGGGAAGAGGAATTCACACAGAGTGTTGCTAACACAAAACATGGTGGACCACATTGTCCTTTTCCGGTAAATAAAGAGACATGGCTGCAGCAGCCACTGAGCTTATAAAACCAGTACGAGCGAAGCACTTGCCTCTGGCCCTGATCTTGCCTTTCTTGGTACTCAGGCACTCCCATAATCTGTCAGCTGCAGGACTGGGAACTAAGCTTCCCGTTTTAACCTTGTCAATGGTGCAGAAGATATCCTGTTGTTACTTCCCATTTCATTAGATCATTTCTTGCTGCATGCTGCTCTTCATGCTTCACCTTCTCTTATTTGCTGCACTTTTTTATTTTTTAAATTACATTTTGATAGAAATATTTTGAATACCAACACTGTTACCTGCTATGGTAAATACATATTTTAAGATCTGCATATTTACAAAAAAAGATTGAAGCAATAAAATACAAAAACAGCAAAACTGAATTAAAAAAAACAAACAACAAACCTGATGTAATGAATTGCTTATTTGAATGAACAGAATATAGCTTACAGTTAGCATTGGCAGTCAACATATCCTATAAAAATAGCTCATTGGGACAGATTTTACTAAACATATTATGACTGGAAATATCTATTTATTTTCCAGAGGCAGAATTCTTCCACAGATACAAGCTTGAACTGACAGCTTGCACTGGAGGCCTCCAAAGTCAGGCAAGTTATGATCCAAACTGCAACTTAGTTCTGACTTCCTACAGTAAAAATGTATCTGAAGTTGACTTTTGCATACAATTGTTTACAAATCTTCAAAATCAGTTGATTCTTCAGGAGTTTGACTTTTACTCTCATGAGGAAACTTTACTCACTTAACAGTTCATTCAAATCTAAAGATTCCCAGAGTTCACACAGTCATATAGAAATCAGAAGCTGAAAGGATAATAATTATCATGGCCTGATTCTTCAAAGGTATGTGAAAGGCATATTAATGTGCTGCACAGGTCTGTGTATGTATACCCTATGAGTGATATCTCATGTCAGATGATCTCTGACTTCCAAAATCAGGAAATCACACATTAGAAACTGTAGATCTTTATTCCTTAACCCTGGTTCCTAGGGGAAGCAGTTGCATTTCAAATGATACCAGGAAAACAAGTTCCAAAAATCAACCCATGAAAGTATAAATTAGATATCCCTGCCATTATTGAGAACCTAGTCATGCAAATATATATATGTAAGCACAAGTTCAAACCAGTAGGACTGCTCTCAGTAGATCTAAGCACCTGCAGGGTCAAAGATTTGGCAGCGAATGAGTATCTAACATCTAGTACGTGGCTCAGATCAAGACACCACACAAAGCACATAAAGAATACACATGAGACTAACCTGGACCATTTAAGTACTGTGTAAGAGAACAGTGCAATCGCACTATTATAGGCTCTGTGCGAATTACATCCCAAGCCACAGCAATCTCTTCCTAGTTCAAGAAAAAAAGAAAACAATAGACACATTAGCAATCATGAGGAACTGCTGCATTTTGTCAGTCTACCTTAGGGTTGTTATAAACACCATCCATCCATTTACCCTCTTGTGGAATATCTACTACAACTTTAACCTTGAGACTTAGGACAAACTGTTGCCTCCTGATGCCCCTAAAGCAGTATTAGACTGCTTCCAGCTGTAAAGTATGCCCATTTAAACTGAGCACAGGTTTATACACAACACTACATCTACAGTGCAGGCAGATGCATTCCCATCTATCAAGAGATGCTGCTTCAAAGCTGAGAAGCAAAGGAGCAAATAAAGATGGAAAGGAAACTCATTTCAACACAGGACAAAGGAAACTTTTGCTCCTTAAGACTGATTAAATAATTCAAAGTATGATCAGATTTTATTCCATTTTAGAAAAGTCCAAGAACAATTATCTTCTATGCTGTGCTGTCCTGAGAATATGACATATCCGTACAGAAGCTAATGATGCCCCTAAAAGCACTAATTTTTATTCTCTAGAGAACAGGCAGTTACTGCACTGATGAGGTGAGGAAGTGTGGAGCTAATGACAGCATAACTGTTACAGAAGCCACACTGCCAGTTGACAGCACCATTGTCCTGTGTCTCCTTTGCCACTCAAGCCTCTCCCTAATCAGCTGCAGATGTTGAGAAGCACAGAGGAGAGCTCCAGCCAAGGTCTTCTTCCCTCCAGGATTCCATGAAATGCTTTCACCTAACTAATGTCTAGGATAGCAAAAAAAAGAAATGTATTTCATTTATAACAGTTAAAATATTTACCATTCAAAAGTATGTTTGAAAGGAAATACACATGCAGTAAATAAAATTCTACAAAGCATTTTAACAATGTGATCATAAAAGGAAAAGGAAACCTTTTCACTGAGTAGCAATCAATAACGTGTCAGCCACTTGTGAAGATCAAGTCTCTGAAAAAGGAAATTCTCAGTGGTTGTCTAGAAAGTCTGATGTGTAGCAGAATTAAATGGGTATTAATGTTCATTATGTAATTCTGTGATTAGATTACTTACATCAAGAAAGCTAACATCAATATGTAGATCAATATCTACATCATCAATGGCTCCATATTCCCTGAAAGGAAAGAATTACATTACATTAGAGCTCTTTAAGATACTCCTCAGCCCAGGAGTACTTATAACAGGAAAGATTTTTTTAAAGGATAAACTTGTCTGTAAAATCAGAATGGTTATAAAACACATATTTACATAGACTGAATCAATATTCCCAGTGGGTGACCGTCTGTTGCACTGAAACTTTCTTTCACTGGATCTTGCGGAATCCTTTTTTCTACTAATTCCCTCAAATTCTCTCTCCATTGCTGCTATGTATTTTTGTCTCACATATTGCACACATAAATCAAGAAAACGATAATGGTCACACACTGCTTCTATTTATGACAAAAGAAAACCGTAGTTAATTTTCAAAAGTATTTCAGGTTAACAGTCAGTAACCTAAGGAGAGGCTTGAGATAAATCATTGAAGCCAAATACAACATAGCCTAGAGGGTGGCATATCATACCTGTGGGATTGCTTCATACTTTCTCGCATTTGTTTCTCAAAATACAAAGATTGCCCTGTAATGCGCTCAAGGCAATAGTTACCTTATTTTATCTGTTATGTATAGTACTGCTGGAATTCCCGAGGTTCAGATATAACTTATGCTCACAGGTGTTTCATTGCCATCTCAAATCTGACATTTAAAATGTGACTTTTCTGCCTCCTATTTTCTGACTCATTCTGATTGCCCTCCCCCAATGTACTTGAAGACTCCTGAAAAATAGGGCTAGAAAATACTTATTCATACACCTCAATAAAAAATTGTTTTCCTTTTCATTTAAATTACTTAAGTGGAAAATACTGTACAAGTGCAATCACTCTCAGGTTTTCACAGATTAGCTTCTAGTCACTACGTTTTTTTCTTTACACTGCATTTATATCCTTGTTCTCACAGTGACTTCCACTTTTTTCTATTAAACTAGACTAAGACAGTGCATAGTAGGAGTTGTGCATAAATAAACTGACAAAGTAATTTTTAAATACAAACATATTTTTGTGAATATAACTGTCTCCTACCAAAGTGGCCTCTCAGCCCATGGTAGGACCTAGCTCACTCTGGAAATGATCTGGAAATGATCACCTCTTGTGAAGTTTGGTGGAGTGAAGCCCTTCCACCAAACCTCAGCATCCCAATTGTTCTCCCTGCTAAGGGCAAACCCAAAGTCTCTCTCTAGATCAGATGTGTCCACACATCACACATAAAGGGCAGGCAAATGGCTGGGCAGGTTACCTGTAGGCTTCTCAGCCACCCTGACAGCTGGCCCAGAGTCCGCTCATCCACAGCTATATCTACAAGCACTTGCTGAACTTCTACAGCTCACTGAAGACCTGCCTTTGAAACAGTGAATTTCCTCACCTACTGAATGGCTTAGCCACTATCCTACACAACAATGGCCTCAGATTTTTTTGTTAATTTTCCAGAAGATCCAAATAACAGATTGCTATGAACTCTTAAGTAACGTTTATGAACGCAGGCTGGTGTTACTCACATGACTGGGATTCAAAAGGCTGTGAACAAGCATAATTTTACAAATTAAACAGAAACACAGTTAAATTAATGAAACACATAAATATCAGTGTAAGAAAGGATAAGACAAAAATAAGTTATAACTGTGGAATTTCCATACTCACTGAAATCCCTTTGCCCCAACTCCATTACCGTCCTAGAAAATGGATTTTAGACACAGGATGCTGACTCTAGTTGTACTTCCCCAAGCTGAAAAGGGGGGAAGAAATGTTTCCTTCCAGCACCTTCTGCCTAAAACGGCTCCATGAACATGTCTTGATTTTGCAGCTCCCAGAGGTCCTCTGTCCATCAATGCATAAGCAATGTAAATACATACTGAAGAGTTTGTCCAGAGGTCTTTCTCACAGCTTTTGTGGCCAGATTTCAAAGGGCAGTGGTGAAAAGCACACAGGTATAGGAATTTCACTTTTGTTTGTACAGTTTACTCTGTGAAAGCAAGAAGCTACGAGAAGAGGGTCAGCTGCCTAGGAAATATACATCTTGGTGGGTGTCATGCCAGACAGACTTCTCTCTCCACAGAGAAGTGGAGCTGCGGGAGATGCATGTAAATGAATTCTTAATGCTGTGTTTGTCATTTCCAAGAATTTACAAGTATTTTCAATTGCAAAATATTGGAAGAAGCATTAAAGCTTTCCACATGCCAAAAGTAGCCACAGATGCCAACTTATACTACAGTGAGCTCAAGGAGATCACGTTTCCAATGAAACAGTTGATTGAATAAATTTGATGCATTAAAGTTTTTGAAAGGTTACATATAATGTTTCAATTTTAGGAGCTTGATGGAGCCTATTATCAAGGTATTCTCAATTTCATAGATATCAGTTTGACAACTAAACATTTATCTCATTCATTTCTTAAACCCATAAACAACTATTTGGATTTCAGTTCCCCAGGTTCTTGAAATGTAATGAAATTTCCACTTAATTTGAAAAGGTATAGTACACAACAGTTGTAAACATGCTATCTCTTCTTAGACAAAAAACCCCAGAGTTTATTGTTTAAAGGTTAATGGGAATTGTTACTTGCAATATATGTATGCCTCAGGTTGTTATCTTCTGTGCATTTTATTACCTGGTTTGTAAGTCAACTGTGATATTTTCTCTGTATCTGACAGGTCTGTTACATCTTGCCTATCTATTATTTTTATGAAATTATTACGATTGCATAGATGGCAAATTAAGTTATAAAAGACCAGAAGCATATTAAAAATATCATTCAGCTATGTGCTGTGGTAGAATCATGCATGCTCATATATGCCCAATAGAATTTTTGTGTAATAACACTTTGTAATCTACCTCTGACTGAGCTTCCATCTCTTCCCTGTGTAGGATTCCTCAGATTCCCACAATTAAAAACTTTTCCTAAAATACAATCAAATTCCTGTTTGTTGCTAACACAGCTCGTTTCTTATTGTCTCATGATGACAATAGAGAACATTTGATCACTCCTCCTATCTACAAGCAGATTTTTTGTAGAAGAAGAACTGTTATTATGTCTTCTCTTTTTTACAGACTAGACAAATCCAATTTGTTCACTGTTTTCCTAGGGAAAACATTTACTAAATCTCTTACGATTCCTCTTGTTCACCTCCAGGGCAAAAGACACAGTATGATAGAAAAGGATTTTAACAAGGGTTTAGAGTAATGCTGAATAGTAATTTTCAACAAAATACAACAGCCTGATCAAATACTGACTGAAGTGCAAAAGACAATGATGTGTTAGAGGCTTCCAGGGCTTTTCTCAGCACAGCCAGTTGTTATCAGTACTCAACCACAAGAAGAGAAAGAAAACCAAACATCATTATTGCTAGCTGGTGGTGCTCCTTTTTTTTGCCATACAGTATGCAGAAATCACCAGAAGAGACTTGTGCTTTGGCAGTGAGGGAAGGTCCACATAGAAGTCAATTGCCAAAATGTTAAAGGTTCCACAATACAGAAAAGTCAATGACATACCTGAGAGATACTGCATTAGGTCCATAGATCTCTCTCACTGCTGTCAAATCAGCCTCCAGTTGTGGGTGCTTGTGAAGCTCTCCATCATAGCTAACCTACCAGGAAAAAAAATATCCTAGGAGTTCTTATGCACTTCTTTACTGGCACCTGACCTAGGCTCTTTAAAGTTCCCCTTGCAAAATATGCCGCATAAAGATTCCTTAATGCCGTGCTCAGAAAGGACACTGTGTTGATAAGCTGAAGTACTGAGATGGTCTGGCTCTGCTCAGCAATGAGATTTGCAAAGCAGGCACCTCTGCATCAATATTTTTTGAAATTCCCACTCGTCTTTGTGGGAAGAGAAACTGCAAAGGATTCATCCCTCTCTCCTGTCTTGTACTGGGGTTTGTTCTGGGACACTTGTGCATTTTACAACTGTTAAGTAGGAGAACAAGATCTCCCCAGTCCTATCAACCCAGTTCAACCACTACAGGACAAAGATTTGCTTCCTCTTGGTTGTTATCACACTCTTACTTATATTAGACACAGAATGGCTTGGGCTCAACAAGAGAAGTGTGAAAGTATTCTGTATACCATAGTGTTTCAGCATCTAAATTACATTTTTTCAGTCCTTCCATGGGCTGTATTCTATCCACCAGTGCAAAGATACAAGATGAAACAAACAAAAAAACAAACAAACAAACAAAACCCCAAAAGACTTTAAGTATTTTAACAGAGAAGGTACAAAGAAATATATTTAGACATCATCCCTATTTTTTTAAAACTCTACATGAAAAATGGTAACAGTTATGTTAGTGCTTATGTTATAAAGCAAAACTTGTGAGCTAGTACGGCTGGACCGTATGAAGTCAAAATAATTAATATCCACCTATCTTCTACAAGGAACAAAATACCTCTTTAGGCTTGTAACAATCTATTCACAATCAATTAATACTTTCTTGTTAAGCAATATGTTCCTGATTGTGTGAACCTAATTCTACTTCTTTACAACAATTAGAATGTCAGTAATTCCATAGAAGTCAATTAACTCCCTAGATTGGTATAGATTCAGATATAAGAGTAGAATTCGGCTTGTACCTTTGACAAATTCAGAGAGCAAAGCACAACAGTGTAATTTATTCCTTTAGACATATATATGACAAAACAAGGGGAAATGAGTTTAAACTGAAAGAGGGCAGGTTTAGATTAGATATTAGGAAGACGTTTTTCACTGTGAGGGTGGTGAGACACTGGAACAGGTTGCCAAAGGAAGTTGTTGATGCCCCTTCCCTGGAAGTGTTTAAGGCCAGGCTGGATGAGGCTTTGAGCAACCTGATCTAGTGGAAGGTGTCCCTGCTTATGGCAGGGATGTTGGAACTAGATGATCTTTAAGGTCCCTTCCAATCCAAACCATTCTATGATTCTATATAGGAATTCCTGCAGAGAATTCTTGCAATTGCAGAACTGTATCCAACTGCAGTACTGTTTCTTCCATTTGTACATCCAAATCTGTAGACCAGTGCCGTGACACTTTCAGCTCTGATATCTGGAGATGTACTTTTCAATCTAATTAAATACATTTCAATAGCATTCAAATAATAATCAGCTCATCACCTCTTACATGTGATTCTTAGCAAAGAAAAATTAGATTAGACTTTGAATTCTTCAAATATAAGGCACAGAACTCATCAGCATAGCATGGACCTGTGTTTATCAGAGATATCAACGATATTCATGGCCAGAAGGGTATAAGCCAAGTATCCCTCTCTTGTTTGGGCAAGCATGTCAGAACAATTTTCCAAGTAGAAGAGCATGGGAAGAAAACCTTTTTTTTTTTTTTTTTTTTTTTCCACTTCAGGTAGAGAAAATCAATTCTTTTCACATGCTCTTCACTCAAAGATGGATTCTTTAAAGATGCATAAATAATTGCTGTCCTGCTTCCACAGAAAGCACAGCAATCATTTCACAAATCACAGCTGTGGTGCACCTGACACCTCTGTTGTTCCTAAACCACATTTTTTTTACTCACTTATGTATCAGTAACAGTAAAATCTAAAAAGGAACACTATACAGAACACTGAACTGCTCAACTTAACACTTTCTCCAATCTGTCTTCTGATGGTAAGAGGTTATGAACTCAAAAATGAAATAAAGCAGTGTTCTAGCAAACTGTAAGACTGTACTATGGTATTTTCCAACTCTGAATTAGTGTCACAGACATGCTGATGCACACAGAGGAGACTGCCAGAGTTTTGTATATCTGCATTTTCAAGCATGTCCTGTAACCAAAGCACAAGAGAGAGGGAATTTAGATTGCCAAAGGCAGTAGTATTACTGTTTCAGTCTGTTCTCATTTGTAAATGCAGAAGATAGAGACTGAAAGCGTGAGAGAGTCTCAGAGGAAGTTAATATAAAAGCTAAAAAATCTGATAACTTTGCTGTGTCTGAAGGGTCTGTGTTTAGAAAATCTCAGTTTTTAATCTAAGACCTGATTCAGATTATTCTGTCCCACATAATGACAAAAGGTTGCATTTTTAAAGGCGATTAAGTGATTTACAAACCTAAATCCCATTGAAAATCAATAAGACTTAGGCTATTGAATCACTTAGCTACTTTAAAGTATTTATCCACTAAATCCTTAGGGAAGATTACAAGCAGGTGCCTAGGAAGCAGATATAAACATTTAATTTATGACCAAAAGGTTGTATTTTGTTTTCACTGCCCGTCAAATGGCATTTCCCATCTTCCATGGACCTTGTTTCATCATCAGCTGCTCTCTTGTCTTTCCAGCTGTAACCACTTAGAAATGTTAAGAATTATCCCTGACCTTCATCTTTCCCAGCTGTATTGCACACAATTACATTGGCATCTATTCCCTCTAGCTGCTAAAGTCAGTATTTTTGTCCCCTTTCTCTGTGGGCACAGCACACACTTGTCTTAAATAAAACAGTTTTCCTTGCTTGTTCCCCACATATAGTCAATTATTTTGTCCTCTCAATACACCTGATATTTAATAAGTCTTACAATCGCTTTATTTGAAAAAGAATTGTTCTTTTTATGTCGTAATGGACTTTGCTCATTACCTCATTTCCTATTTATTTTCAGAGTCCTCAATATTTTATTTAATTCTACAGGCCTCCTTCAGAATTTTGTCTTTTTGACCATGAAATTTTTAATTGCAAATTTCCTTTGTATCTTGTTAGATACACTTTCTATGATGTCTTATTTAGCTTGTTTGTTCTCCTTATTTTACTTTTTGAATATTCTATACAAGATTTTAACAATCACCTGATATTTTATTTTTATTGATACTCTATTTTTTTCAGTTATAATTCCTTCAATTAAATGTAGTACCTTAAAAAATTGCAATACAATGTAGTTTCCACTTGAAATATAAAGCAACTAAATTCTAACCAGTATTGCCACTTACACTTTCTTTTACACCTTGCAAAATTATGTTCTGCACCCTGTATTCATACCTCACAGGCAGCGTTAATATTTATTCATTCATTTGGGCATTGGCAGGAATCTTTTACCAAATGTATTAGCACTTGTTCAAGAAGTAAGCACTCCCAGCTGTCTGCTGCCTTCTCGTTCACCTTGAGGTTCCTGCCCTTTCTGCAGAGTTGAAAAATGGAGCCAGTACACACAACTCATCACTCCAGGGCAAAATTAGATTTCTCCTCTCAGGCAGATTAAAATGAGACATCACCCTTTGCACTGAAGTATGTGTACACGGTCCTCCCCAGTGCTTTGTGGGGCTGTAGGATTCAGCAGCCAAAGGAAGGTAATTCCTGCAGTCATTTCTAAAGTGAACATGAGTCAACGCCCCATGTCAGTTATTTCTGACACTGAAAAGACATTCTTTTAGTTCTGGTTTCAATATCACTATTTACAGCTTTTTAGGAGTATGCACCTCAGCACGTATTTTATGTTCAAACCCCACAATGCTGTTGGCTCTGCAAGAGAAAAGGCTCAGTGATGTGCTGCTCATCAGCATCCCACACGCTCTGCATCGACCCAACTGGCTGGCAATGCTAGCACACGCCTGCAGCCTCAGCTCTGCGTGCACACAGAACTGATGGCTTCAGCCTCCAGGACGATGTAGTGATAATTCTCATAAACAGCAACCATAATTCATTAAAATGTTCATCTAAATAAAGAGTTCTAATAACATAACTGAGGAATGACTCCTTTGGGGCAACAGTTATGACTAAAAATATAAGAAAAATCTGAATAAAGAGACTGGCAGCGTGAAGCGCTCTATTGACATCGCAAAAGAAAAAGAGATGAATTGATTTTCTTTCCAGATACATAAGAGAATGTATTAATAACTAAGTCTGCTGAGGGAATAAGAAGGAAAAACACAGAGCAGTACCTAAAAATATGCAGCATTTTTCAAGGTGAATTTAACTGTAGAGCTCAGAAAAAGAATAGACTCTTACCTAGATCAAAATTGTTTTGTAATAACCATTTTTACCACTAAATTGCAGTGCTCTTGACTTTACAAAATGGCAACCCTCCAGAAGGAAACAGATTTGGATCCAGTCTGACTTCCCATTTGTATCAATAACAGGATAAGCTTTAAAGAGTGAATATATATTTCCTGGAAGTAAGCAACTGGCTTCTATTTTCAAATGTTCTGAAGAGTATTTGATTTTTCTATTCTTACAGTTTTGCAAATGTAACCAAACTATTTTTATTTTAAATTTTATATAATTATACAGTATAACATATTCAATACTTCTGCTATAAAATACTATGTGTATATGCACATGTCATTCCATTTGATGTTGAATAAATGTAAGAAATTAATTATTATCATAAATTTATAATGGTATTAACAACAGAAGCTTTAAAACATTCATTTGTTGAAACCTGTGCAAAAATATCCTCCATTACCTGTCCTCCATAATAAAATTCCTCAGAATCATTATCACCTTCAGAATCTTCTTCAACTGTGCTGTTGTGCCGTGATTCCTTAATGGAAAAGGAAAGTTAACAATGATACAAGTGATATGCTTACCCTGCATTTATAGTTTTAATTATAACTACAGGAATTATGTTTTTACAAATAAGCGCATAACACCCTTTATTGAGAGATCTTTTAGTATGATTCTTCCAGAAGGGCCTGTTTTAAGAATAGTGAAATATCAGACAAAACAAGTACCTCCTAACTGGGTACATAAAAACACTGTGAACATATGTTGGAGAATTAATACTTTGTCTGGCTACAGACACTGTGTGGTATTTTAAGGAACCTGGTAGTAGTTCAGTAGACTATGTGGGGATACTTCACTCTGTGCTTTTGCTAAACAAAGAATAACTTACTCTCCAAGACACGTTCTAGACTTAATTCAATTAGTGTTTCAGTGAGCTAATAAAATTTTAACTTACTTTATTCTGGTAAATAAATTACAACAGTTTAAGGAAATCATTCAAGTCCAAGCATGGAATATCTTAAGTTCCTTTATGTAAAAAACTGACATATTGCTGCTTAACTATTATTTTTAACAGAACTATCAGCCTGTTGTCAGAAAAGTTCAAACTTAATTTTCTGACTAGCTCTGTTCTTAGACTTTGAAAATTAAGGATTAGAAAGTAATATGCTTACCCAAGTAAAACCTGCTCTAAATAGGCTGCTCTGTGAATAATTGCACTCAAGTAAATAGAACTGAGCCTGGTACAGACTGCAACTCAGCATGAGCTAAAGTGCTATGTTCTGCTTCTCACCAATGGAACCTTTACTTATAATTATGTAATTGCTTGAAGATATTAATTCTTGTTTCCCACAATCCCTGTGTTATTTCTAGGCCCTGTGCTGACAAGGATCCCGTAAAGAACACCTATTAAAATCCTTATTCTTCATTTCAATCTGAACATGATGTACTCACTGCTTATTTTGTATTTATGTCCTGCATGGAACTCCCATAATGGAATAGAAATCAGATGTATGAATCAAAGAATACAAGTTAGCCCTCAATCCCATATATTCATAAGTGTCAAATATACCCTTATCACTAATTTCTACGGTCAGACTTTCTAATTCCATTTTCATACCTTTGTATCTAAATTCCTGCTCTATTTACTGTACATACACATAGAAGAAAAACTGTAGTTCAGTCAATTTCACGGCAATTTTCTATGCCAAGGCATAAAAAATAATTTCTGCTTCTAGTTCGCTGAAAAGAAACAAAGCAACTTTATTCTTCTTTGTTTAATAATAACCTTAGCTCAAGGGGAAACCTGTGTTAAAACAGAACTCAACTGAACAAAGATTCAACACAAACCAAAGAGAAATTAAATTCTCACATGAGAATAGTGACAAACCCATCCCCAACCTAACCAAACCTCCAACTGTCTAGCCAACAGAAACGGTCAGGGTTATAGATCTTTTTTTAAAAGGGGGCAGGGCTTCAGTACTTTCATATTCTACTAGAAGAAAAATAAAAGCTCAAACTCTGTCCCATAGAAGCCAACTATATCTCAGGCTTTTAATCAAACAGGTAAATTCTTCTTGACTTGAATTTTTCTAATGTTTACCGAGCACTGAATACAATGATGAGGCAGTAGAAGCGAAGTATTTCCACAGCAGCTTTTTAAATCAGTCAGGTTTCATTGACTAAAAGAACCAACCGTACATATTAACATATATGGGCATGCTTATTCCCCTTTCCAGGATCAAATACAGATGGAAGCCTAAAAAGCAGTCATCAAGAAATTCAGCAACCAGCCTTAATCAAACGAAGGTTTTAAATCAAGCACCTGAATTCTTGATAAAATAATGAATTTCTTCTTTGGGGTAAGAGCCTATACAGTACTTTCTTTGAGCCTGTAACATTGTCTAGCCCTGCAGACTTCACGTTAGTGCCACTTCTTTCTTCAGTTAATGTCTCTATGAGACTGCTCAGGGACTTATGTCAGAGGTACGTTATAAATACAACCATGACTGGAAGGCCTTAATACTCCAGACACTATTTATGGTGAATAGAGTCATGCAGAGGTCTAGAGCCTCCACTGGGGTTGCTGTAGGCCACATGAAGAAGCAGTGAGCTAAAAAATGGGATCTGGTCCTATGTGCGAGAGTAGGCTAAAAGGTAATGGCATCACGATCTTCTCCAGGAGAGTTATATTTTTAGGGCAGACAGGGTCTATACCACTTTTGAATAAAAAATGAAATAAATGTTGAAATCACATTTCCTAAGATGGGAGCATCCATATCCCAACTAATTGATTCCCTATGAAAACCACGTATGAAACCCAGAGTACTATGCTCACCTTCTAAAACATGTAAATGTGTACAGTTTGTGTAAGCACATATTTGATAGGAAATCTACAGTAAACATTCTTATTTTATTATTTTCTCTTGTTTCTTAAAATAACTTCTTAAAATATGCATACAAGAAATACATACCTCTCCATTCTCCCTCTGTAATTTTGATTTTATGGATAAGCAATAGTTGACATCACTGGTTTTTCTTAATTCTTAAAAGAAAAGGGAAAATAGGGACATCTGTGCAAAATGTGAAACAATTTTGCATATGTAGACTTTAAATACTTAGTTGTAGTAGTAGAGCAAATAAGGAACAAAAAGTTACAGATATGAAAAGCACCAAAGAGTTTTAAAAAGTAGTCTAAAATTAAGAAGCCCCTACATCTCAGAAGACTCATTAATTATTTTTGTATACTTTATAAAAGAATGAAAAATCAAAATCCTTCAGCAAAATTAAATCAGATCATCTTCTATATAAAACATGGCATTTTATTCTATTTTAAATGGCAGGCTTTATCTATTTTTAAATTACAGAAATATTTACAAGTAAAATTTATCTTGAACTTCTGACTATAATAGCCAGTTTTTGTTTGGGTGCCACTGCACTGACCTTAATAAAATTATTCTTGATTTACATTAGTACAAATGAGATCAGAGACTGAAGATCATATTGGTTTTCCAGTGGAATTCAAAATAATTCTGTGTTACGCAAAAAAAGCCCAAAGTATTGTAATAATAATAATAGAAAGTCTGCAAAGTCAGGTGTTTCTATCTGAAGAACTGCCAGAATTAAGACAGCTCTATGTAATTTCTCCTGTAGCCTGAAATCATCAGGGAATTTCACCGATAAAATCTAAAAAGTCTCTATAAACTCTATATTGTACAAATGTGCCTGTATGTCTGAAAAGCATGGCCTTTCACATATCAAATACTTTCTGAAAGTATGGAAATAATTTCAAATGAGAGGTTCCTAAAATCACTGGGAAAAAAACACTTTTTTTTCCATAGTCCAATTTAATGAAACAGCTGAACCATTTTGTTTAAAATTTCCTGAAATAATTTATCAGAAGCAATGGCAGTTATAGACTGTTTCATCTCCAGTCATGAAGATTTAGTGAAGTTTAAAGCAACTGAGCATTAAAACTTATAATTGGGAAGTATTAAACACCACTAACTGTATTCAAGCAGCTTGAGCACAGACTGCAAGATATTAAAAGAATAAAATACATTCGGCCTACACAATCATGGTGATCCCCAAAAGAAATATTTTAATTTCTTATATTCTGAAATGTAGGACAATTACTACAGTAAGACTGTGAACAAATAGCAAACTGCATAGCTGCCCACATTAACTCCCTTTAAGTGCGGGCACCATCTTTTCTTTTCTCACAAAATATGAACTCAATTAAACACTTGGGACATAAGATTACCTGTAGCGATTTGATGGAAAATTACTGGAATTGGCTCTGTTGTAACTAACACATCTTCATCGTTATCAGAACTGGAAACATAAGTGTTATCTACGAAAGAAAAACACCTTGCATGGTGAAGTCCAGTTGTGCTCTGCCAGCCCCTTCCCAAGTTGCTCATCCCACCCTGTACCATAAGGAACCACTCCCCAGATGGTTAAGGAAGCTGAGCACTATCATCTTCCTGGTGTGTTGGTTTTGTTTTTTTTTTTCTCTTGAGATTGCTAACAAAAAGAAAAATACCAAAAGGATGGAAGATGAGGATCCAAATTTTATACAAGCAAACCCCTGGAGTTCATGAATCACACCAAGCACTGCTCTGAACCATTCCACAAGGCTTACGAAGGTTTGAGCCAACCTTTTCCAAAATGAAAACTTGTTCTATACTTTTTGCTATGCCTGACATTAAAACTCAAGCTAGATATGCTGTGCAGAGTGAAGGCTGCATTCAGAGCTTGGTGTTAACAGCCCATTATACAAAATACCTGTGCTTCATTTTTCCTAGTTACATTACAGTTGTTTGAAGTATCTTCTAATCAGTGGATAACCTTTGTGCTTGATTTGGGGAAAAAAAAAATCTTCCCACTTAACAAAAACATTAAGTATGGATATAAATATGGAAAGTCTATCCCAAATTTTCTTACAAAATGTAGGTATTAGGCTGAGAGGTGTGTGTGTCTTGGGCTTTTTTGGTTTGTTTTCTTTTTTTGCTTTGAAACCAAACATTTGGTAACAACAAACAAGGAGTAATAAGTTTATATTGTAGTATCTGCAGGAGCTAATTTTTCATGAATTGCTCAACTGCCTATGAAAGTAATAATATTTTGGTTTTTACTCATCTGGACTAAATTGAAACTTATGATCTAGAGCAGAAAGCCTGACTATTAAGATAATCACAGATAAAGAGAAAAATAAGAGAATTGAAACAAGGACTTGTTCTATCTTAATTCCTAACACTCTGGTCCCACATCAGCAAAGTGCATGAACTTACATGTAATTTTAAGCATACTGCTGCAATCTCAAAGCCTTTGACCACATGGCTTCCAGTGAAATATTAAAGATGTTAACATTAATTGACTAGTAAATTCAGTAATATTATCCTTTGTATTACAGAGGTTCCTAGCAGCCTGTTATCAAGACAAAGCCCCTTTCTCACACAGATGTGCCATGCTGCCTTTGCAGACCAGCAGCTGCAGGGCCGCACGCAGACAGGCGCGTGGGGCTTTCCTGGCCCACCGCCTGTGAAACAGCCTCTCTGCCACATTCACACACATCTACCAAGACTGACACTATCCCACACATTCAGCTACTTCCACTCCTGCACTGTCCCACGAGGTAATCTGAGTAATCTGTGCTTAGCTTAACATACATGTATTGCATGCAGGCAATTGCTACAGAAGGCTGACACCACTTTTCCCTGAGCCCTGCACTCCAGTAGGCAGAGCAACCTGCTCCATCAGCTCAGTCTGTGTCTGCTCTGCTACACAGTTGGCACAGTGATATGTTTTAAAGCCACAACATCATGCAAATAAAATAGGGTTCCTGCAGCCATTTGCCAGCACGCACTCCTTCTTCCACTTTTGTCTATCAGCAGGACAGGCTATGAACTGTGCTTTCAGGTCAGCTGCATCTGACCCTCTGCACCAGCCCTGCCTTGTCTCTATTTGTATGCTCCACCTTGCTCTCATCATTTCAGTGTCAGCCTCACTGTGCTGGGTGGCTCTGGACATATACCACAAAGGCCCATTCCTATCCCAGGTTTGGGAGTGTAACTTACTGCTATAGAGCCTAAAGAGCTGGAATCACAGAGGCCACAATTTGGCTCTAAGTATACCTAAAACCACATATATGGATGGGAGAAAGGGAACCCATGTGCTGGAACATATTGCTGTATGAAAAAGTAGGAAAAACAACAATATATGCTGTACAGAATAGACAATTACCATGATATACATATATGGAAAAAAAGACCATTCAATTCCAGGTTTTATAGATTTTAATTATATTTTTATGCCCATTGTCATTCTTTCTTGGCAGCTGGATAATATGATTTTCACTGCCAAGTTTTTGTTTTCCTTTTCTATTTGGCAGGCATTAGAGTTTTTTTTTCCTTCCATCAATCCAATGAAACTTGAAATTAATATACTGGGTTTGGTTTGCTTTCTTCAACACTCATTTTCTAACACACTACACCCCGGAACACCTCTCCTCTTAATTGGAGGACCCAGTGCCTGGAGCTAGTGGAAGGATGCAGCAAACCACTTGTTGCCGAACTGGTTCTTTCCATCTCTGCTGCAATCTAACAAGGTCTAAGAAAAGGATGTTTCTGTTAACACGTGTGTATCCCACAAATCACTGGGATAAAGGACTACAGCAGTTCTACAAGTTTATGGCAGTCAATACATATCACTCTGAACATATATTCATTACCAAAATGCTTGCTGCTGTAATCATTCTCACAGGAGACATGATCCGCTCATATTAGTGGGACTTCAGTCTACTCATTGATGTGATATTCTATAACTGCTCCTTAGGAGCATTACTTTTCCCCAGTTATGTCAATGTTATGAGAAAACAGTTACAGAAATATTTTGCTAGAACTGTTATTATCTGCCTCTAAAATTTTCAGTGATGTTTTCACAATTGCAGCGATGTATATATAACTTTGAGACATTACTGTCTCAACACTATTCCTATTACGTCCTCCACTGTGCCTTTGTGAGCATATTTTTAGCTTTCACTCATAATTACAGAACTTTCAAACACCTTCCATGATTGAAAGTTGTCATGTCATATTACGGTTCCCATAGGTATGATTTAACATTCAGCTGTTTGTAATCTTTTGATGGCCTATGAAGCAATTCAACAATAGCTACACACTGTTATCAGTGCTAAAGCGGTGATGCTGCATACATAACAGCAATGCAGGGAGCTAGAGTATATGCAGTACCCAAAGCCCTTCTTATAGCATCTAAAACTTACTTGTGGTGGCACCACTTTTGGCTGAATGAATATAATTTGTATAGTAACTTAATATATTCTATTTTCATATATTTATTGCATGCATTAGCAATTTATCTGATGATCAACTGTGACAGTCTTCTCTCAGATTTCCAAATCTGATCCACTGTGTATGACACACTCTTAATCTCCAGAGGATAAAGCTTTGGTATAGCCGTACAGTAATGGACTTAAACTTTGATCTGTAAAGATTTATCCTGTGAGAAATTTAATTTGATGAGCATGTGTTGCTCTGAACTCTATTGACTAGCATCAATACTTGAAGATTATCTTCCAGTTGAGCAGAACATCAGCACAGAGCCTCCCAGACTTAACACCATCACACCCTAACATATCCCTGAAACACCCCTTAAAATATATGCCAGAGAAAGAGAGCCACAGTCAGTAGTAATGTTAAGTTAGAGATTTAGGACGAAGAAACAAGACAAAGAATTTGGCTCACCAAGTCAAAACAAGTATTTTTAGGATCAAAGCTGTAAAATGGCAAAGTCATTCCTAACACACTAAACACCTCTTCATCACAAAGCAAACATAGATCCTGCAAAAGCTTGCAATATGAAGGAAATCAGGTCCTCCAAAGCCTTGATCAGTAAACACATGCAGCTGGTTTACGCCCCCCTTACCAAGTCAGCTACAGTGTAAAATGTTCAAATTCTATCTGGCTTCAAAATATAGGGGGTGATGGCAGAGAATATTCATTAGGTTTTAGAGCCACCAAAGTCACCCAGGCTTGTAGGCCAACAGGGCATGCTGCAAATAGCATGCGTAAAGGAAGTTTGAGGTTTGTCAGACAGAATTTTGCCGGGAGATGAGATCTCATGTGCTGTGGGAGTAACTGCTGGTTCAGTGCTCCAGGTTGCCATTTAGTTAGGGGTTCCCAGAGATGAAGTTTTGTGCCTTCATAATAGGTTAAACCCTGAAATGAATAATTCATTACTAATGTTTAATAAAACAAACAATTAATAACATATGATGTAGATTTTTTTTTCAACTATTTGTCCTTCTGTTCACTGTCAGGTGAATGTTGTAATCAGTAAATCAATTTATCACCAGTATGATTGTGTATATTATGAATCTCAGTCTCTCTACTTACTACATGTTGAATAGACTACTATTAGCAGCAGTTTTCCCTCCAGTTTTTACTGGTAAAAAAAATATATCTCATAAAGGTTGTTAGCATTCTTTCACATATCCATTGTATTTAGCATTACTGCTGCTGATGATTTCTCTATCTGCTTCAAACACTCTTGGTGTTTTGAATAGGCATAGTCTACTGCTTATCAATGAAGAAGATCAAAGCCTCACTTCCTTAGAGGTTCTAAAAGAAACAAAAAAAACTTATTTTAGAAATACTACAGAGATGTTGCAGATAAAGACCAAAAAAAGGCCAGAAGATTCATATAATTCATGGTACTTACACTATTAAATACTCACAGGTGCAAAATACACCATGTGGTGCAATCCAACAATACTACCGTGTACCTTTACTTGCACGGCACCTGTCTGCTCTCATTCCCGCTTCTCTCTCCTGCTTCTGCTAACTTCTGTGCCACCTGAAGTATCTGCAGTCTCTTTGTGAAGGAAATTGGACAATTAAGCTAGCTGGAAGCTAGCTTTTGCTCTTGCCTGGTTGTCTTTCATATGATTCCCCTTGTCTAGACTGGCTACATGGTTACACAAATGCTTCTGCCAACCCAGCTCAGAGTACAAAAGGGAGGCAGGACTGAGCAGCTGGGAACAGCTTTGCAAGCCTACGTTACCAAAAACACACCCATACACAAACCCATGGCTCCAACTGACTCTGAAAAGCATCAGTGCAGTCCACAGGCTTAACTTGAAGAATATAAGGAGTCTCAGTAAGGTCTAATGCAGAAGTGCGTTGCTGGCCCCATGCCAGACTGCTCAGCCTCTTGAAAGATCAAGCTTTATCTACCATGCCAAAAAGGAGTTGGGCTCTTTCTCACTCTTATAATTGTTGGCTCCAGACATGGAAAGCATCACAAGCTCCGGTCTCTGTAAACTTGTGAACCAGGTTTTCTCACCCTGACCCAGCTGATAAATGTTGCCTGAAAAGGAGAAATGACTGTGAAAATAATCTAACTAATGGAAAATGATTAGCACAAAGATGCACCTGGAAGACATCAACACCCTTTCAGATATTCTCATCTGAATATAGCAAATTGCAGTAACATGCACACATGTCATGGACAAGAATGTTGCACTGTACCTGGGTAATCCTCAGAGACATGCACTGAATAGGATACACTGTAAAAAGAAAAAAAAAAAAAAAAAAAAAGAAGAAATAACAGAATTAATAACAACAAAATTTACTGCTGGCATAACATTTTTTTTTTTTTCTGCTCCTGTATTATTTTATGTTTGTTTACAGGTTCCTGACAGTTACCAGGACAGAAGGCAACAGGTATTTGATGTTTTTTTAAGTGTTCAGCTAAGAAAAAAAGCATCATGCTCATTTTGGAAGCTCACTTTGCTAAATTGGCACATCCCAGTTTCAATCTCCTTAACAAGAATAGCAAGACCGCATTATATTAACTTTAGAGTAACATTTCACAATATCTATACTTATGCTTAAAAAAAAAGGTCGCTCTTTGAACACTAGAACTAGAAAAGCCCAGTTTTCCCTGCATCTGGTTTCTGCGTTGAGTCAAGACTTGGTAGGAAGCTTTCTCACTAGCTGTACATTGTTAATCTCAGCAAAGGTTCTGGATGCCTCGGGCTCCTTCCTCTCATCAAAATCTCATAACAGTTGTGGCAATGTTATGTGATACCTGTACCTCTTTGTCAAGCTGAATTCAAATCGAATTTGAAAAAGCTATGGTCACACTAAAGGGTATCTTCACTGTAGGGATTATCTGAATCTGTTTCATCAGAAAACAGTCATACAAACACACACTCAGCCCACATGTGCCTCCCCAGTGAGATCTTCACTAAATTCACCACTGAGAGCAGGAAAAATGGGCATGATGGTCTGCTCAGTTATCTAACTAGCCATCAAGTCCATTTGATTTTTTTAAGGCTAACGTACGTCTTCATTTTGCTTCAATAACATTCAACTCTGCAGCATGCTGAAAGCTTTCTGTTGTATAATTCATGTTCTTTCCACTTCTAAATCCTATAAACTGTATGTGTCAACTTATACATTTAAATAATAAATGGTGTGTGTTCATGTCTGTAGTTGAGTTAAGCAGACAGACAAAGGCAGGGTGGCACAGTTCTCTTAATAAATTTTGGTACGTTTTGTACATCATTGAAAATTGATTCAGTGGATCGTTCTAAATTACATTAATACAACTTTCACGTAAACTATAAAATAAAACCATGTATGATTTTTTTCTTTTTCTCTCTCAAGGACTTTCATTAAATGAGCTCCACTTCCACAGTCCAATGGCTGTAGGAGGAAATCAATATGAAAAAGTATGTCCCTCACACTTTCTTCCGTAAGTCAATCTATTACTATACAGCTCTGTCACCTGTTTTTGCACATCATCTGTTCTAGTATAATTCATTTTATGTATTGTTTGACTAAGAGGCAAAGATGCTTGTTTCTTCAACAGCTGCAAATGTTCACATAAATGGAAGCAGAATGAGTGTTTATTGCAGCTGACAACAGATTTACCCACACAACTCTTGATAGCCTCAGTCAAGCCAGAATTAAATCCCATCACTGTGTAAATTCAACATTTCATGATTTTTCTCTTTTAATTATTTTTCAGACATTTGGAACAGGCAGCATCTGCATCCCCTCATCTTGAAGCATTTTCCCTGAAGACTAGGTTATTTAAATCTAATTAATCTGTCATGGCATAAAATATCACTATTTTAAATAGGGAATGTTATACCTCAGTGCAGTCATGTGTGGAGAATTTTGTCCTGTGGTGCACAAAATCAACCAACAAAGCAAAACTAAACAAAAAACCCCAAGAAGTTAATTAAGGGCCTGTTCTTAGCAAAACCCATCTTCCAGACATTGTGTTTGTAACCATGACTTCTTCCTTTTACTACTGAAAGAGATATTCTGTCTTACTCTTTTAAACTGGCTGCCTGCACACCTCTTTGCTGCCTCCAGAATTGCTGCATATGGGTTTGTTTGACTATTGGTATATAGGATTATCTTCAAGTGTAGACTTTTATTCCAATAAAAGAAAAACTTTTCTAGAAATCATGCCACATTCTAATTTAAAAACCATCTCAATCCAATTTAAAAACTGCAACAAAGCAGGGAAATTCCACGTATGTATAAAAGAAATATTCTTCATATAAGAACAAGAACAGCAGCTGAAGAAGTTGCAGAATGTCCATCAGTGCAGCTATGCAAAACTCAACTGGGTAAGACCCTCATCAACTTAATCTCACTTCGAAATTAACTTCTGCTTTCAGTGGAAACTGGACCAGCTAAGTTCGCATAGTTCATCCTCCCACGTAATTACTCTATGCGCGTGTGTACAGAAACCCTACGAAAGCGTGTTTCTCTTCCTTCTTCTTTATTGCGTGGCATCTGTGGCAGCACCAGCTGTGGCAACATTACATGGAAAATAATAAGAAAAAAATATGCTGTAGGTCTTGTGAGATGGAACTAAAATGAAAAGGTTCATGTAGATGCAGGTTAGAAACAGTCTCAAAGCAGATTCTGTAATGACTGCAAGCAAATTCAGGGTCTGATCCAGAGCCCACTGAACCTAGCAGTGGTCTCAGTACTAAGATGAAAATTATCAGAGAGGAGAAATGAAAAGTAAAAATAATGTAAAGTAAATTTTTTCTGTGATTCCAGTAATAGAAAGTCTCCTTACAGAAAAAAAATTGCCACCAAAATCTAATGTCACCAAAATCTGAAAAGCATCAACAGAAAATCTATCTGCCAAACCAAAATTAAATGGTAGTATGTTGGAAATAGTAAAATAATCTGATGAGCCTAAGCTGCCAGTTCAAAGGAAAGTGTTTAAAGGAGATGTGAAACAAAGATTAAAGAACAAAATGCCTGAAAATTAGTTATTTACTTCCAATGAAAATAAACCAGGAGTTTTTATTTGAAAAACTACTGACTCAGTTTAGGAACTGAACAAAGTTAATTTAGTCCTCAACTCAGCAGAACTATTAGTTTATTATGTTAGGTGTGTTTAATCTGAAACTCTTTACATTATTAATTTTTCTACCTCCCCCTCTCGCCAAAAAAAAAAAAAAAAAAAAAAAGAATGTCTAATTGTCTTTCTAAAGTCACATCTTCATCAGATGTTGGGATTCTGTGCTGCCCTCCCTTCAGTGTTCCCAGAGTAGTGTACTCTGGGAAGTATTAGTGAAATACTATACAAGACAAAGCGCTTGTGGGAACAGCATTTTAGATAGCCCATTCCTCTTACATGTATTTAAACTCATATTCAGGGAGAATAAATGGCTTGTTTGAGCCCCCAGAGAGAGGTGGTGATGCTTTGCTTGGGCTTGTAATCTTATGTTAGTTATGTGCAGGCTACAGAAGCAAAAAGCAGAAATAAAACTACTGAAACTTGGGTTTCATGTCCCAGTTTTCCCCACAATTGTCACACAGGATCTCACTTTGGCATGATTTCTGCACTCAGGATAAACAGCTTCCTACTGACTGTGCACCTGATTTGTCAGAAAACAAGACATACCAGGCTAACAAAGGTCTCTGAATACGCTCTTGTCCTGCAGGCACCCAAGCATTTTCCCACTGATAACAATGAGATTTAGAGACAAGACAGCAACACAGGACTGTGATGGCTTACAGCACCTTAAACAGCACAGACTTCAGTGAAAATGCAGATGTTCAACACCTCTCAGAGCCAAATAAAGCCTTTACTGAAGGAGTTTTCTTGTTTAAGTACTCATAAATGCAACTGGAATTAATTTAGGCCTGGCCCCAACATAAAAGTACAACATGATTATAATCCAGTGAGAGATGTGATTTTTTCCTTCTGGCAATGCAGTTCCTCTGTACAACCCTATTGCAGTTATATTGCTATAAATACAGCTTATAGCACTGTAATTTATTTCCATTCCCATAAACACATTCTAACGAGCCAACCATCATCCTTGCTCATTCAGTTATATTGCTTTAGCTGCATGAACATAGTTAAACTCTTGGGTGTAAACAAAGCTTCAGTGATGGTGTTATTTCTGTTTTATTCAGCTTAGACCCTCTGCAGAAAGCATCCTACAGTACATATGTTTCTTGACCCTTAAACTCAGTACAAGCTTCATACTAGGAATGGCCTAGTAAAATTTTTGTTATTTAACAAGCAGTAAAGCACCATATGAGAAATTAGTGAGACTTGTCACGTTTCACTGCTTACGAGTTTTTAATGTAAAATTCTTATTGCTTGAAATAATATTAACATGTAGATCCACAGCCTTAGCTTAGTAACAACTCTACTCACAGGGGACTCCTTGCAAGCATTTTCCAATGTGTTTTAACCATATCTGTTCCTTATTCAGAAAGATTATCCTGCAAAGGTCTATCTGCATCTGAGAACTAATTCATCAACTAGATGGGGATCCACCACGTAATTGCTATTTTTCAGATGAATCTGTCCCAATTTGGTACAAAACAAGTAGATTCACCTGCATTTGACATTACTATAATTTCTCAAAGCTAGTTTAAAAGGAGTCCAGAGTCCAAATCGATTAGACCAGAGAAAATATTACCCCAAATTGAAGCTTTGAGGCAAAGAAAAAATCCATGAAAGCTGAAAAAGGCAGCACAGCACAAGTTACTGCAACAAAGCACATTCATAAAAAGGAAAATAACCAGATTCACCTCTTTACATCAATTTGTAAGATTATTTCCTGTGCCTCGAACTGCAGTCTTTACCTATTGTGAAAGATGGGGGAGAGTGTTGTTGGCTTTCGCCATAATAATTCTTTTTTTTTGCTAACATATGGGGAATTTGATGAAGAGGCCTGAAATGACTAACCCGTGGGGGAACAAAAGGGGGAAATTGTAGAGAGACTGTAGAGATAGGGGGGAACAAAGGGGGAAGTTGAGGAACTGTGGAGATATGAACACCACTGCACCCACCATCTGGAGAGAACCAAACCAGCGGTCTGGAGTTTGGGTAACTCACCAGGGGTGAAGAGGTCACTCTGAAGAAGACTGTGGGCCTTCCTCCCAAGGGCCTTTCCCACAACCACCAGGCAGTAGCGCACGTGCATGAAAAGATAGGATTTTATCTTAATAAGTTCCCCCACAGTAATTAGGATAACCCTGCTCCTTTTAAAAACAAATTATAATA